GAAGGCAAGGAGGGATGGCGGGTGGCCGACGTGCCTCGGTTGACACGAGCCACGTGGCACCGGCTGTGGTGGAAGGCGATGGTGGTGGTTGTCCGCACCCTTCCCCTGCCTCCCCAGCTGTCCTTACCCTCCAGCTACTGTCCTGCCTTCAGGGGCTTCTCCGTGACGGCATCCTGTGCCCTCAGGACAGGGCTGGCCTGGGGACGCTGAGGTGCCCCGTCCCTGAGAAGCAGCAGACCTCGCTTCCCTATGGGGCAGTCCCAGGACCTGGAGAAAGCGTCACTTTATCTCCAGTGTCTGGGGAGTCTGACTTTCACCTACTCTGTGCCTTGAGACTAAGCACAAGTGTATTTTTGTAAACAATGCCTGCTCGGGAAACGCCAATGTCACCGCAGCCAGATCTCTTTTTTCTGTTTACGGAGACGTGTTCATGAATGACCCCTGCCCCATCACGGTGCCTTCTTCATTGGCAAGGAGCGTGTGTGGTGGAGAGACACCCTGGTGCTCCCCGTATCTGGGTCTAGAATGGGCTCCCCCCAGCCGTGTGGACCTGGCTGGGTCCTTATGGCTCTCTGGGCCACAGCTTCATCCTGGGTAGAACTGGGCTCGCTCTGTACATCTCTATGTTAATTGTAGTGAAATATCCATCACATAGAATTTACCATTTGTGAGTGTGCAGTGCAGCGGCAATAAGGGCCTTCCCCTGCTGTGGAACATCACCTTCGCCACGCTCTTCAGAGCACTTTTACCCTCCCAGGTGGAAACCCTTGCCCCACCAAGCCCACAGTCCCCTTCCTGAGCCCCTGGCCACTGCCCATCTACTTTCTGTCTCTGTGACTCTGACACCTCTGAGAACACACGTAGGTGGAATGAGGGGCTTGCAATGGCCTCATGGCAGGGTCAGCGGCTCGGCCAAATGACATCCCATATGGAGGGTGCCTGCCCTGGGTGTGGCACCAAAGAGCTCAGTAACTGTGGCTCCCTTTCTTCCCAGCATTTCCTGACGCCAGCCTGCACTCGGATGCCCCCTCCGCACGGGTGTGTCTGTCTTTCACTCAAGGTGGCCCCATTTGACACGTGGGAGGCATCTTTGCAGATTAAAATAGACCTAGAGAAAGGCTCTCTGACAGTACGCAGGGCCGCGGGGACCGAGGAGCGGACAAGGGCCTCTCCTCTCGCCATCTGTCCGGATATTCAGCCCCCCCAGGCAGCGTGTGGACAGCAGCCGGCGCTCAGAGCCTCGGGGTGTCAAAGGCTGGCTACGAGGCATTAGCCTCCTTATTTAGAAGCACCGAACAAAATCGCAAAGCCTCACAAAGCCAGGCTCATGTTCCTAATTTTAAATTTATTAAAATATGATGAACCCTCCTCGGGATCTGAAGAATAGACTTAGGATTGTTTAGAAAAAGTGTATATACCCACGGCCCGGATGCCAGCCGAGGCCAAGCTCCTGCGTGGCGCCTGGGCTGACGGCGCCGCGCGGATGGACGGGCAGCTCGTGGGCGGCGCGCCGTGCGGAGGACGGCCTTTCCCACCTCTCACCCCAACCGGTTCTCTTCTGCACTTCGGTATTTCCTGCGGTGATTTTCAAAGCTCTCACCTCGCTGGCTGTTTCCACCAAACTCTCTGGCTAATTTTTCTTTTGTGTTTTGAATGTCAGCGCCCTTTTCGAATGTATGATCCCAGGAGGAACAGCATATTCCAGACACGATCCCAGAATGACCGGCAGAGAGGAGGGTGGAAATGTTTCCTTCTAACATCTTGACCTGACTTCAAACAGTGTAGCACAAGACTGTCCCACGCCTACAAAGTTTTTTCTCTCCATTCTTCCTTTAAAATTATTCCACACTTATAAGAAGCGTTTATATGACAAAAGGACACCGTCACCCCAAAACGGGTGTCCTCTCCTTAAGGTATGCTCTATTTCTCATCCACTTTGCTGCTCACTGGCAACACTGGTTTCTGAACAGTAACTCAGACTTCCACAGACCCCCGGAGAGGGTGTAAGGACCGGGAATTCAGCTGAATGGCTTGGAGGGCACTTGCAGGCAAGGGGTTAATTTGAGGCACATCTTCCTTTAGGTAATGAATTTGTTTTTAGGAATTTCTTGATGTAAGTCAAAGTTTTGGAAATCAAATTCTTGAAATGCATCCAGCCTACGTACAGAGCTGGTTTAGCGCAGGAAAGTGTGGTGTGCGGTGAGCGGCGGCCCTCTGTGGATTTCCCTAAACATTCCGGGCTTTGCTCACGGCGGCAGCAGCGCAGACAGAGACACTGTGGGCCCTGCGGGAGGGAGAGGCGGGGGGAGGCCGCCGGAAGTTGGGCTGATGGGGCCTTGTGGTGCTGTGCCGGGGTGTTGAGATTTACTTGGGGGGGTTGGTAACTCTCAACACTGGGGAAGAGGCTGGCGCACTTGGAGTGGCCTCCACGCCCCGGGCTCCCTGAGGGGACGTCCCCGAGCTCCTCTTCCAGCCTCCTCTTTTCTGGACCCATGGGCCTCCGCGCAGCGTTTCTTGCTGAAGACCTTGCGGCTCTCCCGGCTCCTCTGCTTCTCCTTTGCCTCCCAGCTTCCCAGTGACCTCCGAATGGACTCCTGCCACGGCCCCTGACTCATCATCAGGTCATGTGGGTGCCAATGAGCTGCTTGGAAAGGGTCTTTATTCTTAGCCATTGTACCGGGTAGAATAATGCACCCCAAAATCTGTGTCCACCTGGAACCCAGGAATGTGCCTTATGTGGAAATAGGGTCTTTGCAGGTGTGGTCAAGTTACAGTTAGGTCACACAGGACAGGACCAGCTCCAAGCCCTTCCAAGAGGAGGGAAATTTGGACCCCGACGCAGATCCATGGTGGGGAAAGGCTGTGTGACGGAGAAGAGGGGGCGCTTCGGCCCCCGAGGAGTGCAGCGGCCTGGGGCAGACATGGCTGCCTTTCCCATCACGGCCTTTCTCACTTGACCCCATGTTCACGCTCACGCTTTCTTCCTGGAGTTCGCTGATTTCTGGCAGAAAAGAAACACCTGTGGATGCACCCCAAGGAGGAGCCTCAGACCAGCACTCAACAGCCAGAGATAAAAGGAAGGGGCTTTGGGACCATAACCTTCGGTCCATGTCCGGATCCTTGGTTGGCAGCAGGGAAAGGCCCAGACGGGGGTTTCGGGAGGAGACGCTCACTCCCACTCAGCCTGTTGACTTCGTCACCACCAAATCCAGCTTCGTCCTTAAAAATGCACGTTACCGTGTGTTTAACAAAGTTCTGCCTTCTGTGGGAGGTTTCAAGGACCAGCGTTGCTTCCTCTGCCTGTATTGTGCTAGAGAGGGCAGAGAGAACCTCAACTTTGGATAAGATGAAAGAACACATATCTGGGGGCATCCCATGCCACACATAAATAAGCACGTTTTGGGTCACGGGTTGAGGTGGATGAAAACTCGGTGGTCTTGGGATTCCGTGGGTATTCTCTGCCACCCTACAATTCCGAACACTCTGTCCTTTTCCCTGGGAAGCCCGGGTGAGTGTGTGCAGCAGGGGGCATCCCTGGGTGGGCCCTGGGGCTCCATTGTACTGGCAGTGCTGGGATGGATGGGTCCACGCTTCTGGAAGGCAGGTGTGTGCCAGGCAAGGAAGAGCTTCCTACCACGAAACTGTCCCGAAACGATCACCCCAGGGTGCTGTCTTCCCTGGGACAGGCGTGTCTCACCGGGCTGCGTGAGTCCCCAGCTGCGGTGAGGAGCGACCCAAGTGCCCCAGGGTACTAGGACCAAGAGCCCCCAAAACCATCCGAGCACCACAGGTTTGCTGTGCCATGCTGGGGTTACAAGCTTTAACAATGACACACAGAGATGCAGGTTAGTTTTATTTTTTCTTCAACAGCGTGAAGACACAGGCAGACAGAAAGAGCAAGAGGTCACAGCAACGTGTTTCAAACCCCGGCCTCATCTGCGCTGTCGTGGGCAAGTGATGCCATCTCTCCAATACCCATGTGTCTTGCCCATAAAACGGGATGATGGCACCCAAGGATTCAAATGCTCACAATACAAGGGCGCTCAGAGGCCCTTGAAAACCCTGGTCTGTTCCTGACTTTGCAGAGACTGTTCTCAAGAGCGGAGGGAGGAGGCTCTCCTTCCTGCAGTCGGAGTACGCGAGGCTGGCGGGAAAGCCGGGAAAGGGAAGGGAATCGGAAGAGCCTGGAGCAGAAGTGAATCTGCTGACGCTGAGGAGTGGCTGCGTGAGGAAACGTCTCACCTTGGTGCCGCCCGGGTGCCCGCGCTGTGGGTCACCAGGAGGCTACGGCCGGGTCCCGGCGTCCCTGCCTGGATTCCACCGCGTGGGTGACGCGTCACAACCCACCTTTGTCCCGGCTCAACTCTTAGGCGTCTTCTCTGCCAGGCTCGGGGCCATTCATGCTCAGCTTTGTCACGTGGCTGGTGAGGGAGGGCCGGGGGGCAGCCGCGTTCCAGCTTTCTCACGTGGCTGGCGAGCGGGGGAAGACTCCACCTGCCCTGTGTGTGTTCTATTTGCTGACGTCGTCAGCCCCACATCTGTGCCGCCATCCGTGTGACCTGGGCTTTTGCCGCATAGAGAAGCAGTGCCCGGCCTTCAGATGCACGGGGACTCCAGGAGAGGGGGGTAAACCACACGGGAGCGCCCGCGGTGACCATCGTGAGGGTAACGCCATGGACAACAGGCGCATTTCAGTAACGTGTAATAACGTAAACACTAACTTCATCCTTGCTATTTTATGAAATGCAAAGTAAAGTGACTTCAAAGTAATGATCTTGAAAGCATCAAATCTCTCAAAGGGAATTCTTTCATACTCAAGTTTTGGAAAACAAAAGATTGACAATAAGAGACATGAACAGACTCAAACTCCGACATACGTAACACTTGATGAACGTTTCTAAGTGAGTTTGATTGGCTTTATCAGATTCGAGATGCAATTCATGACCAATTTATCGAGATCTTCTTTTCAGAAAGAGAGATTTTAATTTAAAAAAGTTTACCTGCCAGAAGTCGGCCACGGTGGCGGGCAGCGGTCCCTGGGTGGCGATGTACACTGGGTTCCTAGGGTCGTGATCCATCTGTGGAGACAGAGCAGGGCGGCAGGGGTTAGGCGGGAGGCAGGCAGCCCAGAGGCAGAGCCCAGGCTCAGGAGGAGGGAAAGGTGGCAACACACCACTTGCCCGTCACTGACTCCAACGAGCGCCCGGCACAGGTGGGGACCCCGCCGTCCTGAGCCTCCAGCCTGGGCCACCGCGTTTGAGATGCTCTCCTTACACCCGAGGCTGAGGTTCTAAGAGCAGCATCAACAGAAATGAAGAGCAGCATCAACAGAAATGAAGAAGAGCAGCCCAAGGAGACCAGCAGCCGTCGCCAGCCTGCTCAGCAGGTGCGGCCCCACGACACAGGTGAGCTTCCCGGCCACAGAGCCAGGTGGACACCCTCCGAGCCCACCCACGTGTTCAGGAGAAAGAGCCTCTTGCTGGAGCCATAGGGCCGCCTGGGGTGAGGCTGAGCCCAAGCTCTCAGCGGAGGGTGTGAACGCGGCTGCCCCAGGCCGCACGGACAAACGCACCAGCGTCCTGGGAGAGTGGGCCAGCGCTGCCCGCTGCTTCCCGGCTGGAGCTAGCGCGCGTGCGTGGGGCTTGTTTCTGTGTATCCTGGGAAGGGGACACGGGCAGAGCCGGTCGGCTGGGCCTGGGCCTGGGTCTGCGGTGGAGCGGGGGCGGCAGCCCCCCCCGGGTGCTGCTTCCTATTCTGTTTCCCCAGCAGGCGGGGATCGGAAACAGCGCAGGTGTGGGCTCTCCGCCTCCCCAGCTTGTCCGAACGCATCCTGCTAGCTCCAACGGGAGACGTTTGGCTTAGAAGACCATAATTATTACATTTATTTCGAAGATTAATCACAGAAAAAAAAAAAGAAAAAAGGACATGGGGACGAAGCCTCGAGAGGCAAGCAGGATTTGAGCACGCGGCTGAGGCGTGTCAGATGGAGGCGCTCGTCTCCCAGAGGCCAACCCCAGGCCACGCTGCAAAGGACACGAAGATACCAGGTCACCACTGTCATCCCAAGGCACTCAGCAGCTCCTTCCCACACCTCCCAGGAGCACCGGCAGAGACCGAACCCTGGAGAGCTGGAGGCGGTGCGGGGGAATCCTCTCACCTCGGGGGGCAGCTGCGTGTGCACTGACACACAGTCCTTTCTTCTTTTGTGTGTAGGACTGGAACTTACTCTTGCTATCAGGGTTTGATTTGAGATTTACAATGCTCCGGAATTGAAGGTAATTATTAAGAATACATTTCTCAACACAGTGAAAAGCGAGCAAGTTTTAACCCTATGTGATTTTAAGCCAACACACGAGGACCTCCGTGGTGGCCCCGGTGTCACCTTAAGTGCTGCTGCATTTGGGAAGCTGACGTGAGGCACGTTTTCTTTCACAGAGACCCAGAGCAGCCATGTGCAGCCGCCACCAGCCTCAGAGATGACGCTGTCAGCACAAAAGAAGGCACCGAATGCACCTTATAATTATGTTCCCATGAAAGAGGGGCGCGCATAAAGGAACAGATGTAAGTTATTCTCACAGAACAACATGGTGATTCTAGCCGGGGCTGGGGGAAGGCAGGGAGAAAAGCTTTCTGTGCATCTGATTTAGTGATTCGTAATTAAAACCGGACCTCGTTTTGAAATTCGCCACCACACACACAATACAGGTAAAATCATGTTACTGTCACTGAAAGCCCCAATTAGAATGTTTCAGTAGAAAAACGCTTAGCAGAAAGAAGGAGTTTTGATTTTTTGAAATATGCATTTGTTGGGGGTGACAGCTATTTACAGAGACCCCTGTGTCTTCCCTGCAAATAGTAATGCACAAAAAGGAAAATCCCACCTCCTTCTTAAATGTGCCTTTTTTTTTTCCCAGAGCAATTTCTACAGCAACACATTTTAAAATTGTAAGTGTGTTCAAGCTAGCACATTTAGTTGCTTTCAAGATGAGAACTAGGTGATTGAAAGTAAAATTCTGGATGGGGTTGCAGGAGAGTAGCTAACGTGACTGTTGTGTTAGGTCTGAATTGCTAAGGTGTCCTGAAGTTCACACACCCACCATGTGCTCCCACGCCCAGGACAGGAGCAAACACAGCCGGGGTGCTGGGAGGGGTGGCTGAACAGGAAGTGTGGGCTGTGCAGACTCAGTGGGGACCGGCCTCACCCCCCTCCCGCCTGCCTGCCATCCTGTGGGGGCCACTGGGATGGCGGGAACAGCACGACGATCCACATGGTGACATGAGTCATCAGTTTAAGAATAATTCAGGAGACAATCAACTCATTCCAGGCACATAATTCTGGGCGGAAGCCTTCTGCACAAGCAGCAACCACCAAGGCCACAGGTGGCCTCTTGTGGTTTCACACAGCCTTCGAGGAAAAGCCAAGCAAATACTTAACTAACCAAACAGAGATTTTATTCCATTTAAGCTTTTCAGGCAGGAAAAGTGTCTTCGGCGGAAATCAAGTGAGCTTCTACCAACACTGCTTTTCCAGCAAGGACATCTGCCTGACGTGACATGGTGGTGTGTCCCGCCACCTTCCCTGCCCAGAGATCCACATGGCACCTACTCCGGCTTCCTCCCATCTTCATTCCTCATCTTGGCCTTCTACTGGTTACTTTCCACTTCACTGTGATGTGCTTTTTATCTGTAGGAGTGTTCCGTTCTCGACGCAGACTGCCTGACTGTGGACATGGTCACTGTCTCGGCCTCAGTCTCACGAGCTGTAGGTGGGTGTGGTCAGGGAGTGAGGAGCTTGGGTGACGCAGTTTCTAAGTGTCCTTTAGCTCTGGACTGCAGTGCACGTGTGTGTGCAGACTCATCTGCAAATGTGTGTGTCCGAGTGTTGGTGGCCATCCTGACGCTGTCAGTGAACATCTGTCAGTTTATCAGGTGAACGCCAAGCTGCTGGGTGGTCTGCGGCCCGTGAACACGCATCCATGCTGTCCTCAGTGAACCAAGGGCGCTGCTTCCTCCGCACGGAGCTGCCGTGCCCTCCAGCAGCGTGCAGCCCCAAGCCTGGACGGTGATATGCAGGCGTTCCCAAGCGCTTTCTCCCCAGACGGGGCCTTCCACAGCAACGCCCGCCCAGAGAGCCCGGTACCACAGAGAATCCAGTGTGACTTATTCCAAGTGACTTTGTGAAAATCGATGGGCAGAAGGCAAGTACAATGCACAGTATAATTCTGTTTTTACTTTTTTTTTTTGAGACAGAGTCTTGCTATGTCACCTGGGCTGGAGTGCAGTGGTGCGATCTCGGCTCACTGCAACCTCTGCCTCCCGGATTCAAGCGATTCTGCTCAGCCTCCCAAGTGTCTGGGATTACAGGAGTGCACCATTACACTCACCTAATTTTTGTATTTTTAGTAGAGACACAGTTTTACCATGTTGGCCAGGCTGGTCTCGAACTCCTGATCTCGGGTGATCAGCCTGCCTTGGCCTCCCAAAGTGTTGGGATTACAGGTGTGAACCACTGCATTGACCTACTTTTTAAAAATAAAAATGCAACCCACTTGTCTGTGTTGACTGTATTATCACTTGGATGACTGATTCTTTGGAAGATGTCACATGAACTAGGAGGCCAGTGGGGTGTGTCCCTCCGCATCTATGAATACCCTGTAAAGATGGCCTCGTGGGGCCCCTCCTGCTGTTGGAGGATAGCTACTCAGCAGGTATCTTTAGAAACTCTAATCTGCATGAAAAACTTAGCCATAATTTCCCCAATATTCCAAACAAAGCTCATTTTAAAAATGAAGCCCTCAGCACGTCAGGACCATTGGACTTGGTTCTGCAGTGCCAGCAGCCTCAGGGATGGCAGAGGCCACCCACCGCTGGGCAGCTGAAGGGAGAGTGTTTCTGCTCCCAGAGCAGCCCTGGCCTCTGACAGCTGTGACCCAAACGTCTCAGGAGGATCTGGCCAGCTTTGGGGACGGGCATGGGGGTTGCGTCTTTCCTCTGAAATCTTGCACAGCAAGGAAGTACACGCAGCTGTAGGTATTTCTACCTGCCCGCCTCTCCAGCTGCCTTTCCTAACATTTAAAGCAAATTCATGGAATGCTTTCTTGAAAACAAACCAACATCTGATTGGAATTCCAAGTCCCTTTTCAAATACTAAGTCTTAATATGGGAATTTATTGGGAAATTGGAGCTTCGGTAATCAATGGGAGGTCCACTTTCTTGTTTTGCTTTGTTTTGAGACAGGGTCTCATTCTTTGGTTCAGGCTGGAGTGCAGCGGTGCGTCTCAGCTACTGCAACCTCTCCTTCCCGGGTTCAGGTGATTCTCTTGCCTCGGCCTCCAGAGTAGCTGGGACGACAGGTGCACACCGCCTCACCTGGCTAGTTGTTGTGTTTTTAGTAGAGACGGGATTTCATCATGTTGGCCAGGCTGTTCTCAAACTCCTGACCTTCAAATAATCTGCCCGCCTTGGCCTCCCAAAGTGCTGGGATTACAGGTGTGAGCCACTGCACCCGGCCAGGAGACTGACTTTTGAACTTGAAATATTTTTATACTGTATTCTCAGGAGTTGAGATTTACTAAAGTAGAATACTGACTATAAGCCATTATTATGCACGGAAGTTTGATTGTAAATAACTGAAGTGGATCCCATATTTGGCCAATTTCTTATGATTCTCAGGACATCTGACATCTCTTCCTTTTCTGAAAAGCCACTCCGTCCCTCCAGAGTTAAATGCATTCTGAACTGAAACTCTAAATGATGTTTTCTTCTCTCTTAATTGACAGTGAAATGAAGAATTCATCTGGTTTTAGGTGTCACCCAGCATTCCAGAGTTGTCCTGGTGATAAAGCCGGATGCTGTCTGAGGGGGCTGCCGCCTGAGTGCCATTCCTCAGCTCCGTGTCCTCAGTACTAACCAGGCTGTTTTAAATGTAGCTCATGGGTCTCTCCCTCAGACACCCTCCGAGGGACAACAGAACTCCCATTGACTTTCATGATCTCTGATTTAAAAGCGAAGATTGCACATTATTGACTGCTGGATGCCTTCCCTGAAATTTAATGAGGACTAAGTACAAATATGACAGATGCAATTGTCACAGTTTTACCCCTGCAGCCAGGGCCTCCCCTTCCTGCGATTCTCGGCCTTTATTCAATGAAGGCTGCTGCTGGGAAGGTCATTATCACTGTACATTCAGCTATTTCATAAAGAGGAGGCAGCATCCATTTCTTCTGCTTCATTCTTACAACCCAAATTTGGAAAAAAAAAAAAAAAAAACGAATTGTGGTATAAATGCAGGAAAGATGTAAAAGGTACCATAGAATGACTTCTCTGGCCCGGCCTCGCCTTCTGACCCAACTTCTGCCCAGTAAGGCCTGGAAAGGGAATTGTGTGAACGTGCAGGAATTCACCCCCAAACACACCCGCCCTCTGGTTCCCACATGAGCATAAAAGCCGTCGACTGGTTCCAGCTCGACACAGTTGCTGCACTGGGCGCTGCTGCCCACGCCGTGGCTTGGTTGTGGCCTGGCCGTGGCCTGGAATAGCCCAGACAGCTGCAAGTTGGGACCCATCAAGCGGGGAGAGCTGGGCACAGCCGCACTGCTCCTCTCCTCTTTAGACTGTGAATCATGGCTTCATTCCTCATTCTGGCCCCGTCAAATGGTGCATCTCGGGGAAACGGGGCTTCTTTTCCTTCTAACAGCGTGTGTTGTCAGTTCTGCCACGTGCAGTACAGGAACGGACCCAGGCACGACGCACGCGCTGCTTTAGCAGAGCTTATGCTCTGTTCATCCGTGAGAGGCTGGCACATCGGTGAGGCAGAAAAATGATGACAGAAAAATGCTACATGCATCACATCTTACTAAGGACGATGAATGAGGATCTTTGAAACTCAGACAGAACCAAACTTGGGATTCGACCTCTGCTGGAAATGAGGAAGTGATTCCTTCTTAAGAATGAACGCATCAACAGAAGCCTGGGCTCCGGGGGTGTAGACCAAGTACCCTAGACCAGCTCTGCACTTTGAATCCTCTTTCAAAGCCGAATCCTCTCATGTGTGGGCCGCGAGGTGCCGGGAAACCAGGCTGGCTCAGGCATGTGAGCATCTTCCCAACTTCGCCCGCAGCTGTGCGGAGACGACCAGAGCCAAGCGCGGGTGCCATCCGCCACCCGTGGCCGCGGCCCACAGGCAGTTGGCCCAATGCTTTCATCCAAGGCTCCCTATGGACGTCGAGTGGAGACACGTTGGCCAGCACAGGGTGTCATTTGTGCCTCGCTCACCTGCCCCGTCTCCCCCAGCCCTAGAGCAGCCTCGCAGCCTGCAGGCACCCTGTTTGATTAAAGGCAGATTTGGAATTGTAGTGAGATGTCCTCATGCCTCCCTGAAGACCAGAACTGGGAAGAGCTGTTTAAAGGGAGAAACACAACAGCCAGCCTTGGCCATAAATCCGCAGAGCCGTGGCCTCCCCACCACTGGTTTAGATGCCACTTGCCATGTCTCTGAAGCCCCCGGCCTGGACAGTGTCCCATTCCACCCCCGCCACCTGCCCGTTACTGCTCATCTGAACGGCCAGTCCAAGTGCCCCAGCATGTGGCTTTAGCCCTCTCCACGCTCATTTCTCTCCCTCCTCTTCTCACCCCGGGAGGGCTGCAAGCCTCCCCATTCAGCCCTGTGCCCCCCATGGGTCACAACAAAGAGGGGATGCCCAGAGTTGAAAGGGTGACAGCCATGTCAGGTGTGGGCTGAGAGTTGCCCCCTGGGAAGTGAGGGGCCACAGGCCACAGGGACTCACACCTCATGGCGCAGGAGAAGCTGCCACACCCATCCCCAGAAACAGAGGACAGTCGGATCCCCACTGCGCCAGCGTCCATCCCAGGGGAGGAACAGCCAGCAAACAGTCCCTTTCTTAAGAAGCAGGGTCCCACTCACTGGAAAAACTTTAGGAAAAGAAACCTGCAATTCGGGACCTGCCTCCATGCCACCGACTGTTACAAAAAGGGTGGACGGGGCCTGGTGTGCCATGCCTGTGAACATACAGGGAACGTGGAGCTCCAGGAAAGAGGAACGGCGTCCACCGTGGATCTCCCCCGAAAGCCACGGCTTCCGGTCAGGAAACTGCCAGTCACCATGGCTAGGTGCTCCACAAGTCATGGGACCAGCATGAGCTGGGACCCACACAGCTCACAGACAGTCCCGCGGGTGAAGGAGCGGGGAGTGGCTGGAGCCCAGTGGGCAGAGCGGGCTGTCCACTGCAGAGACCCTGAGCCAAGTGGGGACTCGATTTCCCCGAGAACCATCCTGTGTGATTGGCCACGTCCGTGCCCCCGAGGGAGAGCCCCGAGCCCCTGCCCCGAGGGAGAGCCCGGAGCCCTGTGTGGCAATGCACTTACGATGGGGCTGGCGTTGATGTAGTCCGAGTGGCTGTGGCTGTTCTCTGCCTTCAGCAGGACCCGGGAGTGGTCATCTGCAAGGACACAGCACAGCGGTCAGAGAAACGTTGGCCCGCTCAGCAGCATGGGACCCCTGTCCAGCCTTCAGGGTCCACCTGTCCAGCAATGTGGGACCTCCATCTGGCCTCCAGGGCCCACCACCCAGCAGCATGAGACCCCCAACCAGCCTCCCCACCTGCCCAGCAGCGTGGGACCCCCGGCCAGCCTCCCCACCTGTCCAGCAATGTGGGACCCCCCAACCAGCCTCCCCACCTGTCCAGCAATGTGGGACCCCCTGACCAGCCTCCCCACCTGTCCAGCAGCATGAGACCCCTGGCCAGCCTCCCCACCTGTCCAGCAGCGTGGAACACCCTGACTAGCCTCCCCACCTGCTCAGCAGCATGAGACCCCCGACCAGCCTCCCCACCTGTCCAGCAATATGGGACCCCGTGACCAGCCTCCCCACCTGTACAGCAATGTGGGACCCCCCCACCCAGCCTCCAGGGCCCACCACGTCCTCTCCCAGGACTCCACTGACACCCTCCTGCACGTGCTTTCCAATGCTCCTGTTCCCCCTCTCCCCTCCATTTGTGATCCTCCACATGGGAGGCACATGAGTGGCATGTGGGGAACTGGGAAAGCTCCCACTCAGCAGACCGGAGGTATCCTGGTGTCTTCCTCCATGTGGAGTTCACACACTCAGGTCAGGGGTTCCTCCACAGAATTTTATGCCACACTGGCCTTTAAATAACAGACACACTTGGCAACACACAGCAGGTAAGCAGAAGTATGAATGTTCAGCAATCAGCCACCTTCCAAAATATAAAGTTTCACAGACAACGAACAGTTAAGTCCCCAAGATTACTGGAATTCAGTTTTAAAAGGAGAGTAAGAGACAAATAAAATCCAGATAAAGAGGAAGTCGAGGAGAAATGTACCTGTGGAGGCTGCCATAAAAACTGGCCTGAACAGGCCGGGTGACCTGACGGCTGCTGACGCCCGGGGCAGTGGCGAGGACGCTCGGCACCTGTGACGTGTGGTACCTGAGCTGCCTTGGCTTTGGTTCTGGGGTACCCGCCATCCTCGTGCTTACTGCCACCGCCCTCCTCTGCCCTGTTTTTAGGAACTTCAGCCACTGGAGCTTGCAGATGAGGGGAAGCTGCAGGAGCCCCTCCTGCTCCTCCCGCCTCCCTGGTGTGCGGCCACTTCCTTTTCTCTGCAAGGTGCCAGTGTTACGGGGTCTTTGGGGTGTTGTTTTTCTGGCCAGAAATCTCTGTGGCTGGTGGCACCTTTGCCTGAGTTTTGCTCAGGCTGGGCCTGGCAGGCTGCATTCGGCTCACCCTACCAGCCTGGGTACCACGCCTGCCAAGGGTGATTAAGGTGAGTCAGGCATGGGGCAGCGAGGGATATTTGAGGGGTGTGGGGTCCAGCCATCGCACAGGCACGTGGGCTGCTGCACCACGGCGGGCACCTCCAGGGGCCAGCATAGGCGCCGGCTCTCTGCGAGGCTGTGGCTGGACTAGGCACACTGCAGGCAGCTTCCACAGCTAACACTGAGGGACATGGACATGCCAAGAACCGCAGGGCCCCAAAGATGGAGTCACAGGCCTGGCTCGGGGAGCTCCCAGGTCAGGGTTCCCTGAAGGGCTGCAGCTGTTCTCTCCTTCTCTTCACCCGCACCTTGGTGAGCAAGGGGCATGTCTCAGCCCCGTTCGTGTTACAGCTGATGAAGCCCCGCCATCTGACACGCCCTGAGCTCTTGTTCTGTGACCAGGGAGAATGAGGTACGCAGACAAGTGGAGGGTGAGCAAAACGAGGAGGAGCTTTATGAGCAATAGAACATGGTGCTCAGTCTCCCACAGGGGGCAGTTCCTTTCTGCACAAGGGTGTCCTGTGAGTGTTCATCTCCTAGCAAAGAGGAGGCTCTGGAGTGGGTGGCTCCTTTCTGCAGGCCAGTCGTCCCATTGTCTCTATGGCCCTCAGCAGAGAGGAGGCCCTGGAGAGGGTAGCTCTTCTCTGCAGCTGGTCATCCCCATGTTGGTCCAGCTCTGGCTGAGCCTGGGGCATTTATGGACCTCAGAGGGGAGGAAGTGCATGCTGATTGGTCCATGGGTGGCCATGGGCGGGCCCAGAAAAGGCACCACAAGTTCCCACTCTGACCTGCAGGGCTTGCAGCCCAGACCCCAGCCTTCAGGCCCTCCCTGGCCTGAAGCTGGGGCCTCACCAGGGACCCGCCCCCTTCCACTCAGGAATCTCTGCCTCCTGCTGCCATTCATGGCACCCAGGCCGTTGGCAGCTGCAGGCCAGCACCAAGCTGCCTCAGCCCTCTCTCAGCTTCCCTCCCATGCTTGTCGGTGCCCAAAGTCCAGAGGGGGCTGTGGTGGCAGGGGCTGGTATGAGCACTGCCCTGAGTGTGCCCACATCTGTGGGGCTGTGACAGCACTTAGGCTTGGCCCTCACTTTGCTCCAAGATCAGAATGGGTGCCAACAGCAGGGAGAAACCAGGCGGCAGGAGAGGGCCTTTCCCACAAGGTGAGGATCTTCTTCCTGGGTCCCCAAGAGTGCAGAGATGCCTGGGTCTACAGCTCAGGTCTGGGCAGCTGCAGCTGCTCCCCAGGGTGGGGGTCCTGCCTGCTTTGTGGAACAGGAGGCCCAGGTCATGCCTCCCTGCTGGAGCCAGTGTGACGGCAGTGGCCACTCCAGATGGCTCACCACTGCCATCATGGCTGAAATCCAAAAGCGACAGTGTCTCGGCTCTGCTGCCTTTTGCCCCAGGGAACACCTCTTGGTGCTGCACACAACACCGACTCCCTTCTCTTCTAAGAAAACAAAAGCACCCTGGCTGGGGCCCTCAGAGGTTGGTGCTTGGCGGCCGTGGGCTCGTTCCCTCTGGCTCTGTTCCCCAACTCCAAGCTAACTGGGCTCCTCCTGCGGGCACTGGCACCAGAAGGAAGTGGCTCCCATCATGGAACAGTGGGTGGTGGTGGAGCTCACGGACTCTGCTTCCCTATGCAATTCTTTCATTTTCCTTGGAGATTTCACTTAAATTTTTTAGGGCTTGGGAAACTGAGTGAGTGTTTTAACTGATTGAACTAGGAAAGTATTATGTACTAGAATCAACATACTCCAGGCTGGAGGCTGTCCTGATGCCCTCCTTCAGGTGGGAATGTCAGCCTCTTCTGGAGTGACAAGCTAGGATAAGAAATGCACCTAGAGACAGGAAGAAGAAAGCACGTGCTCCCTGGGATGTGTACGTATGCACATGCCGTAGGTAGCCGAATGTCTCGGGAATGCTGTGAAGCTGCAAATCATCCCATCAGCTTTGAACGAAGGTGTGAATGATGCAAAAATCCCAGGGACTCAATGGCTTTTGGCTCCTGCACAAATTAGTTCTTGGAGAGTGAAAATTGGCAGTGGCAGGAAATTGCCATACAAATCACCAGGAAAAACTGGTCCACTACGACATCCAAACACCCCACAAATACTAACTCCAGAAGCCCCCAATTTCACAGTGGGGCCACAGAGACATCACAGCAAGGGACACGGCTGTGGTCAGAGGCACTGGCCGGGCCTGGTGCTGCAGCCACACAGAGCTTGGGAACGAAAGCGGGGCTTCTGGCTGCCCCAGGGCCTTCCAGGGCCATGCCTCATCATGACTATGTTCAGCACGGCCACCTTTAGGCACTTGTGAGAGCAGCAACTGGGGACCACTCCTGTGTGCCAAGAAGCTTGATCAAGAGCAGGGTCAGGAGGGAGCAGGGCAGGGAAGCAGCACAGCTCAGTCCCTGGGCCTCTGACCTGGCTTGGTCTGGTGCTTTGATGGTGCCCGCTGCACCCTGAGACCCGTGGCCTGGCCTCCGGGGGGCAGAGGAGGCATCAGGGCAGCATGCTGGGGGCTCTTCCTCAGCCGAGGGGTCCCCGCCGCCAGGGCCTGCATGCAACAGGCCAGGGGGAGAGCGTGGCCACTGCCACTGGGCTCAGCAGACAAGTGCCAACTGGATTTTCTCATCAGAAAATTAAGAAAATGCTTCGCCAGCGGAGGAGTCCTGGGAGTTAAACATGCGCTCTCTGAGCCTGGCCCTCTCCTCTCGATCACAGAGGGGGAGTCTGCTCTGGGCCCCTGAGCCCTGCTGGCGAGCAGAGGACAATCCATGGGCCTCCCGGCGGCTCTCTGGGAGGAAGGTTGTTTCGGCTGAGTTCATTTCCCCCGTGGTTGCCCTTTAAAGATGGCGCTGGCTCAAGGATCCCACTTCCAAGGCTTTGGAGAGCTCCTCCTTCCTGATTGCATATTTGATTTTGTGTCAACATATCGCTTTTGAAATTAACAGTAAAGTCATTTTTTTTAAGAGACAGGGCCTTGCTCTCTCACCCAGGCTGGAGTGCAGCGGCCTGATCTCAGCTCACTGCAACCTCCACCTCCCAGGTGCAAACGATTCTCCTGCCTCAGCCTCCCAAGTAGCTGGGAATACAGGTGCACACCACCATGCCTGGCTCATTTTTGTATTTTTATAGAGATTTCGCCATGGTTTTCGCCATGTTGGCTAGGCTGGTCTCGAACTCCTGACTTCAGGTGATCCACTTGCCTTGGCCTCCCAAAGTGCTGGGATTACAGGAGTGAGCCACCACACCCGGCCAGCAAAGTCATTTTGTTTGTGATATGGGGTCATGTGAAACCTCCGGGAGATGCCCGGAGCCATCCTGGGAGGGCTGAGGGAGGCTGCGGGCTGTGGAGGAGGGTGGGCGCTGACTCCTGCGAGGAATGGCAGCTGCTCCTCTTGCGGAGATTTCCCGTGCCTGGCGAACCTCTGTTTTGTGATTCTCTTACTTTTTATGAGATGTTTGAGAGCCAATGGGATGATGGCGTCCAGTTCCTGGGCCCCTAAAGGGCAGTTTCCCTGACGCTTGAGGCCTGGGGAGGGGCCTTCACGTTCTGTGAAGCGAAAGCTGGTAGGTGGCCTGGGGCCTCTCCAGGCCAACCCCAGGCTGGAGGGGAAGCCAGGGTGAGCCCACGTGCAATCAGCCCTGGCCTGTGCTC